AGGAGAGGATATAAAGGATCAAATCTCCACTTAAAATTTTATATAACAACAAAAAGAAAATATAAATAATGATTATGTATTATGAGAAATGTATACTCCAAAAGAGTGAAAAATAAATATCAAATAAAAATTATTAATTTTTTAAAACTGTGATCAATACTTCAAGTTATTATAACATTATATAATTGATTTTTTAATCATGTTAATTATGTGAGATTGTCTAACTCCTAATTCTCAAGGAGATATAGCATAGGTCCTTAAATGGTTATTTATTGTCTCCAATGGCTATAGTTTCTATTTAATACAGAAAAGAATTATTGATGCTAAAATTATTATAATTGTCTCTACCCACACAATTATAGCCAGTACGGAGACCAAACTTTGAATAAGTAAAGAAAATAAGACAATTGCATTCCCACCAAGAAATTTTTCTTATGTGTATTTAACTAATTGCTTTATGAACTTGAATAATTCCAAGAGGAAAAAAATTTCTTTGATCTTCAATTAAACCCCATCATACTTTCTTGTGATTTAAAATTGTACACCAAGTTTGTTTACTAATTGAGACAAAAAGGATTTACCACCTCTTTTCCTTCAAGTCAACTAGGCCCAAAGGCAAATGCATATTTCCCACATATCACATATTAGCTGTCATATCAAAGCCTTCTTATCTTAGATAGTTGTTCTTACTTTAAATCTTTAATTCCAGTAAACCTGACAATAGAGCAAAAACACAGTCAGCTAAAACATGATGATACTGACTGCTTTCATTTCATTATGTTTTTCTAATATTGTTACACATACATTTTTATTTTTGAGAATGTTCATCTTAAGCTTAAAGCTTCTTGTGAATAGAGTCCAACACATGGAAAGCCTCAAAAAAAAAAAAAAAAAACTTTTTTTCATAATCTTTTATGTTATTTCCGTTATTCAATTTGAAAGCTATGGCACTTTTCACATTTATATCACTTCTTTCTAATAAAAACATCCTAAATGTAAATTGTGTAGGTAAATCATCACTCTCCACTCATATATTATAGAACCAACCTATAGGTCAGTCTTAGTTCAGGTGGAAACCATTCCAGAGCAAATGAAGAAAACTTATGGCTGAATTTATCATAGTAAACATTCTACAAAAGATCTCTGTCTGTAGTAGAAGATTATAATTGCCCAGCCCCTGTGATGCATGATGTTGTGCTTAGTGCTCTGCTAAGAAACATTGATTGCGAGGAGGTAGCTAAGCTCCCAGCAAAAATCCGGGTCCCTTTGGTAGAGTTGCAAGGGATAAGACAATAATAGAGAAAAATGGAAAATAAAAGAACTAAAAGAATACACAGGGACAAAGATATAGTTTTATAAGTTTATGAAGATTATAGGCAAAGCGGGTTCTCAGGGGGCCTAGACCTTCTCCGTGGGTCTCAAAAAGCCCTGAATGAGGTCTTACATGGTAACTTATAGGGAATAAGTCATTAGTTGCCAGGGGTAACAGATTTACACAACAACAGGTAGTTCCTCTCAGGTTAACAGATTTTCAAAAGGTTTCTACAGATCCTTTAACTAATTCTATCTACATAAACAAATGGTTACAAAATCTTTCAAAGGTTAACTTCTAAGTTCTAAGGTAAGTTTATCACTTAACAGAGGGGTTAAACAGAGATATGTTGGCTCCATAGTTATTAGGTTATTGTGAATGGAGACAGGTAGTCTAGAGTGGTTTAAACAGGAGCTTGCTTATAGCCATTCAGGAAGCTGTCTGTTCCGGGGGGCACTCCATTGTCAGCTCTCATCCTGTAGTTTTTAACAGATTCACTTTGCTTTACAAAGCAAATCCAAACCTTTAGGTCTGAGAAACGCTGCACCTTGTGGGATACAGCAGCTACCGTCTTTCAGAGGTGCCCTTCTGAGTGTAACAACATTTGAAATGCAAACCAACATGTTCACATATTCCTTCAGGACAAAGTTATGCAAAACTCTTAAGACAAATCCTGTCTTCAAACACATCTATATTAATTCATGGAGCAACAATTGATAGCTTAATTTAATGGAAATTAAAACCAAGTCCCTACCCCACTTCCCCTCATATTCTCCAATATGGGCTCTATGGATATTCTGTTAATAAAATCCAACTCTCTCAAAAATAAGTCTCATGAAGGCACAATATTATTTTAGGGTGGATTTGGATTTATGTCAGTCTTAGTTTTTTATTTATGGATATAATCTCTACCTTTTAATAATTTTTTAATGGAGTTTATTATTTTATTTTATTTAACTAAGAAGGGGAGAAATTGAGTCTCTTGGACAGTTAAAGGTAGAAGAGGGCAGTTTAGTGTAATATTTAAGGGTTTAGTTTCTGAAATCAGACAGACTGGAGTTCAAACCCTGGTTCTATCTACACTCAGTAATTGTAAAAGTTAGGACAGGTTACTTCTCTAAACTTTAGTTTCTTTACCTCTAAAATAAGGATAATAATGGCATTTGATTCATAAGGTTGTTATGCAAATTAAGGGAATTAAACATGTAAAGTCCCTGGCCACTGCTCAGGAATGCCACTTTATCAGTAAAAGGAAGTAAAATCTGTAAGATTTCTGATTACTATCAGAGCATGCTAGAACTAAGTAGATTTTGCTTCATTTAAGTGATTGGTAAAATGAAATTTGAAGTCTATTTTTATAATCCTTTAAAAAAAAGAAATCCTTGAAAATTAATACTTTAAAAAATTTCCCCTTTAAGAAAGCAACTTTAAAAATTCTTTCAAAAATGTAAATACAAATACACACATATACAAACACACACGTGCGATCACTTTTTGGTTATTTCTGCTTTGATACAGTTTCAGGCTTAATGTCACACCAGTATTTTCTTTTTCAGTTTCTGAATTTTTTTTTCCTCTTGATTTCCATACAACTTTAAGAATCAGAACATTACAATGCTGTATATAGATTCTCTGGTTGTTTGTTGTGTGTGTGTGTGTGTATTAGATAGATGAATTGCCACAGGTTTGCCGGATGTATTTATAGAATAATTGGCATATTAATGAATAAATGCATTTATTGATTCATCTATCTACCTATATACCTACCTACTTAGTTACCTACATACCTAGGTACCAACCTACTTATCTACTAGGGATATATACAGTAGAATCTGTTTATCAAGGCCACGACTATCCAAAAAATTTGAAGTCTATTCAATTCTATTTGTGTCTGTTTGTTTTTCTGTATTCTCAGCACCTAGTACAATGCCTAGCATGTATTATTAATAAGTTAGTAAGTAAATAAATCAATAAATATTACTTATGTGTCTGTAATTCAGCAATTCAGTCATTACTTTAATATGCAAAATATTAAAAAATAATTTGTACCAATGCTAAATCCTACATTTATGGGTATAATTTAATAGTAGCTAAACGGAAATTTTAATAGCTTCTTTGTCTTGATACTTAATTGACATATGCATTAAGGTAAATCTATATCCTGGTAATTCAAAATAATATTTTGTTCCATTATCCCGAATAATTGGAATTAACTCTATTAGTAAATGTGCCACATACTGTGCATAGAAAAAGAATTGTTGTTTTCCTATGGTCTCATACTATTCTCCTCTCTTCTAATGATCGTTAACTTTTAATTTTCAGATAATTCTAGATTCATATGCAGTTTTAGGAAATAATACAAAGATATTCTGTATACCCTTCTCCCAGTTTCCCCCAATGATAATATCTTGCATAGCTATAGTAGGATATTACAATAAGAAAATTTACATTGATGCAATCTGTCAACCTTATTCATATTTCACCAGTTTTATATACACACATGTGTGTGTACACTTATTTAGTCTTACGTAGATTTCTATGACCACCACTACAAGATACAGAATTGTTCCAGTGGGACAAAAGTCCCACTTACTATTCATTTATAGCCACAGTCACCTCCCACCATCTTCTCATGCATTCAATCCCTGGCAACCATTAATCTGTTTCCCAGTTTTACAATTTTATCACTTCAAGAGTTTTATGTAAAAGAATCAAACAATATATAACCTTTCGATACTGTATTTTTTTTCACTTGGCTCAATTCCTTTGAAATCCATTCAATTTATATGTACAAATCATTCCTTTTTATTGCTGATTAATATCCCATTGTAACCATTCATCTGTTGAGTTGTTCCTAGTTCTTAGCTATCATGAATAAAGCTGCTGTGAACATTTGTGTACAAGTTTTTATATGAACATAAGTTTTATGTTCCCTGGGATAAATGCCCAAGAGTACAATTGCTGGGTTGTATGGTAAGTGCACATTTAGTTTTGTAAGAAACTGTCAACGTCCTTTCCAGAGTGGCTGTATCATTTTACATTCCCAACAGCAATGTATGAGTGATCCAGTTTTCTCCATAATCTTGCCAGCATTTGGTGTTTTCATATATATTTTTTTAATTTTAGCTAATCTGATATGTACGTAGTGATAGTTCGTTGCGGTTTTAATTCGCATTTCCCCAATAGTTAATGACGTTGAACATATTTTCATGTGCCATCTGAAATCCTTTTCACTAAAATGTCTTTTGCCTATTTTGTAATTGGATTGATTGTAGGTTTTCTTCTTCATTTTTTTTTAAGTTAAGTTTTAAGAGTTCTTTATATACTTTAAGTGTAAGTCCTTTGTGGGATTTGTCCCATACCAATATTTTCTTCCAGTATACAGTTTTCTTTTCATCCTTTTCACAATGTCTTTCACAAAGCATCTAGTAATTTTAAGTAGATTTAATATTTAGTGACTAAAATGCTATGGCACTTCTTGAAAGAAGTTAGCATACAAATTATTTAACAAATAACAAATAAAAAGTATTTATTGTAAAACATTTAAAAATTGACTCAAGCATTTTTAAGTTAATTTTCTAAAGTACATAGATATGTGGAAGGTTCTGACCTTTACACTTTAGAGTTTGGAACTTTGAAATTGATTTTAGTAGTATCAAAACTAAAGTTTGGTTCTGTCTTTTGATAGGTTCTGTTGCCACTGCATGTCGTGACCCAGGCGTTCCCATGAATGGGACTCGAAATGGGGATGGAAGAGAACCTGGGGACACTGTTGTTTTTCAATGCGACCCAGGATATGAACTTCAAGGAGAGGAAAGAATAACCTGCATTCAGGTAGAAAATCGATACTTCTGGCAGCCCAGCCCACCAGTCTGTATAGGTATGAATTAAAAATCAATTAAAATTTTATATAAATATAAAACAATGGTTAACAACTGGTAATGATGTTAGTAATTAGAAACCATATTCTAGAATAGATTCCATACAAGAGTCTAAGATTTCAGAAGACCATGAATCTCCCCCAAATGTACAAAAATTTAAATGATCATTATTTTTCCCGTGGAGTAAGGATTCATAATTTATTAAATTCTCAATGGTTCTAAGATCCTAAAAAAGTTACAAATCAAAGCTCTTGAAATTCCTATCTTCCACTATTTACTATATAATTGTAGTTATCCATTGGCTTTAGAATTTAAAGAGTGGATTCAGACTCTTTATTTAAAATGGGCTACATTGATGTTGCCTTTGAAATGATTACTTCCTCTAAGAAAGAAAATGTTATGAGAACCTATGTTAGAGTTTAAAAGCTTTGATTTTTCATTCAATTAATATTATCCAAAAGATTATCAGTTTTTATTTTGATGATCTAAGAAGTTGTAGCAACTTGGTTCATATTTTCAATTGCCTTCCTTTTGTTTCTGTGCTGTGTTCTTGAATCACCAAGTCAGACTCCATAAAATTAAAAGACAAATTATTTTTGTAGTGGATCCAAGAAAGAGTTAGAGAAATGTACCATTTCTGGAATAAAAATGGTTAGAAAATCTGCTATATAATTAAACTAGTTTAATCTTAAACTCTTCTGTTCAACTGTTTTAGTCGTGGTGTTATCTTGAATTTACATTAAATTTTGACCAAACTACATTTTCTCTACTCAAAATTGTATTTATTTACATATTCTCTTTTTTACCAGTTTTTTACAGTTGCTCTCTGTAAGCAACTTCAGAGTCCATATCTTGTTCACCGGTGTGTTTCTTATAGCATTTGGCACATGCAGATTTAGCATGTTTTAGAGAGAAAACTTTTTGTTCATTTATATCCAACTCATAAAAACATTTTCAATATAATTTCACAGTGACTTATTTTTGAAAGTCATATGGAAATAGGAAAAGAGTATTCAGTACTTCAGTGAAAAGCAAACAAATTCAAGCACACAATTATTCAGATTTATTTTACCTCATCACATAACTTTTCATGCAAAGTTGCAAAATCAAATTCGTTAGTCATTCAGTGTGTCCCAGGCACTGTTCTAAACAGAGGGAATTCAGCAATAAAACAAGATAGAAAAGTTCCCTGTTCTTATAAACCTACTTTCCAGCGAAATAAAATCTAAAAAATACCTGAATTTTTACATCATATTTTCTCTATTTTATGTGTTGAACTTTTAAAAACAGCAAACACATAAAACAAACATACATAAAGCTCCAAACCAGCCAGGCAGTTCTAGATCTCTTCTGTAGAAAATAAGGCAGATGACAAGGAAGTAAATTTATTAAAGAGACTAGTTTAAAAAGCACAAAATAAGGTCATAGCTTGAGGAAGTTCACATTTGGTCACATTTCCCTTTAGATTTTATTTCCTGTGTACACCTATGTGGTTCTTCATGCACCATTGCAGGACTTTAAATCAACAAACATCAATTAATTTACATTTACCATAATGGCATTCATAAAAGCAGGAAAAAAATTATTAAGCACCTTTGCAAAGAAAAAGAAATTGAAACAATATTTCATACGTGTTTCAAGATTTTCATATTTTATTACTCAGTTAACCTGAAAAATTTCGATTATATTAAAACTTCCCATTCTAATTAATTGGAATTTGACTGCATATCTCATAAAGAGAATCTTTATACAAAGAGGAAATGATAAAACATCACAGACTTATGTAGAACTTTTTGCTGTGATTCTTAGACCTGGTTAAAGGGTGTTGCTTATTAGAATTACCAGAAGGGCTATATTATGTCAAATGTTTTTATGTAGAATCCTAAAACATTAAACAGCTTATACTGAGATTCTAGAAAACACTAAAATCCAAAATGCAAAAGGTTTAAGAGTTCTGAGATAGGCTGTTATAAAATTACATTTATAGACAAGAATATGCTTTAGCTAGCAAGTCCTATTCCAGAAAAAAAAAAAAAAAAAAAAAAGCTGAGCACTAAATCTTAAATTGAGCAAGTTGTGGAGTTTTTGTATGGATTGTGGTACTGTATATTATTTTTTGAGAGGAAAAGATAGCTTGAGGAGAAGATATGCATTAGAGCTTCTCTGAGGAAGAAAATAACCTTAAAAAAAAAGTCTGAAAAATTGCTAAGACTGCAGAAAGCTTGACCTCTGAAACTGATAAGAAAGAATTCAATGATTGGAAATACTATGCCAAAGATTAAACCCTGAACTTTTTAGAAACTCCATAAGTCTATGTCTCAGACCCCAGAGCATAAGGCATTTTGCTTGCATGTAGAAGTAGTCAGCCTATAGCAAATACCAAACCCAGGAGAATATCATCTTTAAGAGAGTTAATAGAATTCATTCCAACAAAATTGACAGTGTGAAGATTACTTTGACATTGCCAGAGGGAAAAATAGCAGCACTCACTATGAAGGTAAATAAGAAAGACATTAATGTGGGTGGGCTTCTGAGAAAGACAGTTGGCACAGAAAAAAATTAACAAGATTGTAAAATAGTTATAAATAGTTTATGCCCATGTAACTGCCTCACAACAAACTGCACTCAGAACAAATCATTAATGTCAGAATTCCATGGAAACTAACTAAATATTTAATTCATAAATCTCTGACTTATATTTTGAATGCTTTATGATTAGATGCATAAAAATAAAAATGCAGTTCTAAATGCTATTTAAGGTTGAGTATATTTAAAAGACAATTTTCTTTACTCACTGAGTGTTTGGGATTTACAAATGTCAGATAACATCTCTGTCTCACTGGCTTTCATAGACTTGCAAAATCAACCACACTATTGAAATGCACTAGAAAACATTGATGAATGATTTAAATAATAGAATAAAAAGAATTTTAGAAGATCTTATATTCAACAATAGTATAATCATGGACAATATCCAGTAAAATACTTAAAAATATATGCAATGAATTTTCCTATATCTTTTGTGATACCGGACATGTATATATAATGTACATATGTATATATATGTTTGTATAAAATTTCTAACAATAAAAAGGTCTAGTATTACCAGCAGAAAATAAGGAAAATTAAACAAAATTGCTCCCTATTCCCCCCAAATTTTACATAATCCAACCACTTTACCACCTGAAAAAAATATTGCAAAGAATATTTATCTGTCATTCCAGTGTTTTAAGAAGCATATATACATACATACATACATACGTCATTTTATTGCACTTAGCTTTATTGCACTTCACAGATATTACATTTTTTAACAATTCAAGGTTTGTGACAACCCTGCATCAAGCAATTCTATTGGCGCCATTATTCCAACAACATGTGCTCACTTCATGTCTCTGTGTCACATTCTGGTAATCCTCATAATATTTCAAATTTTTTCATTATTGTTATATCCGTTTTAATGATCTGTGATCAGTGATTTTTACTGTTACCATTGTTAATTGTTTTGGGACGCCATGAAATGTACCCACATGTGATGGCAAACATAATGAATAAATACTGTGTGTATTCTGACTGCCCCAATGACTGGCTGTTCTCCCATCTCTCTCCCTTTTCTACGGCCTCCGTGTTCCCTGAGACACAACAATATTGAAATTAGGCCAATGGCCTCTGAGTGTTCAAGTGAAAAGAAGAGTCACATGTCTGTCACTTTAAATCAAAATTAGAAATGATTAAATTTAGTGAGGAAGACATGTTGAAAAGCTGAGGAAGGCTGAAAGCTGGGCCTCTTGCATCAGTTAGTCAAGTTGTGAATGCAAAGGAAAAATTCTTGAAGGAAATTAAAAGTGCTATTCCAGTGAACACACAAATGATAAGAAAACAAAACAAACTTATTGATGATATAGAAAAAGTTTAAATGCTCTAGATAGAAGATTAAACCAGCCACAACATTCTCTTAAGCCAAAGGCTAATCTAGAGGAAGGCCATTACTTTCTTCAATTCTACGAAGACTGAGAGTGGTGAGGAAGTTGCCAAAAAAAAAAAAAAAACCTTTGAAACTAACAGAGGTTGGTTCATGAGGTTTAAGGAAAGAAGCCATTTCCATAACATAAAAGCGCAAGGTGAAGCAGCAAGTGCTGATGGAGAGGCTGTAGCAATTTATCCAGAAGATCTAGATAAGATATGTAATGAAGGTGGCTACGCTGAAAAATAGGATTTCAATGTCATTGAAACAGCCTTCTACTGGAAGATGCCTTCTAGGACTTTCATAGCTAGAGAGGAGAAGTCAATGCCTGGCTTCAAAGTTTCAAAGGACAATTTCACTCTCTTGTTAGGAGCTAATGCAGCTGGTGACTCTAAGTTGAAGCCAATGCTCATTGACTATCCTGAAAATCCTAGAGCCCTTACCAATTATGCTAAATCTACTCTGTGTTCTATAAATGGAAAAAAAAAGCCTGGATGACAGCAATGATTTACTGAATGTTTTAAGCTCACTGTTGAGACTCCAGTGAGCTCAGAAAAAAAATATTCCTTTCAAAATATTACTGCTCATTGACAATGTACCTGGTTACCTAAGAGCTGTGATAGAGATGTTCTAGGAGATGAATGTTGTTTTTATGACTATTAACACAGCATCCATTCTGTAGCCCATGGATAAAAAGTAATTTCAATTTTCAAGTCTTATTATTTAAGAAATACATTTGATAAGGCTATAGCTGCCATAGATAGTGATTCTTCCAATAGATCTTGGCAAAGTAAATTGAAGACCAGTGGAAAGGATTCACCGTTCTAGATACAATCAAGAATATTCATGGGAGGAGGTCAAAATATCCAAATTAACAGGAGTTTGGAAAAAGTTGATTCCAACCCTCATGGATGACTTAGAGGGGCCCCAGACTTCAGTGAAGCAAGTAACAGGAGATGTGGTAGAAATATCAAGAGAACTAGAATTAGAAGTGGAGCCTGAAAGTATGACTGAACTGGTGCAATCTCGTGCTACAACTTGAATGGATGGGGAGTTGTTTCTTATGGTTAAGCAAAGAAAGTCGTTTTCTGAGATGGAATCTACTCCTCAAGAAGATGCTGTGAACATTGTTGAAATAGCAGCAAAGAATTTAGAATATTACATAAACATAGTTGATAAAACAGAGGAACATTTAAGAAGATATGCTCCAATTTTGAAAACGGCTCTACTGTGAGTGAAATGCTATCAAACATGATAACATACTGCAGAGAAATCTTTCATGAAGAGTCAATCAATGTGGCAAACTTCACCATTGCCTTATTTTAAGAAATTGCTACAGCTACCCCAACCTTCAGGAATCACCACCCTGATCAGTTAGCAGCCATCAACATTGAGGCAAGACCCTCCACTAGCAAAAAGACTATGACACACAGAAATGTCAGATGGCTGTTAGCATTTTTAAGCAATAATGTATATTTTTAATTAAGGCATGTCCATTTTTGGACATAATACTATGGTACACTTAATAGACTATAGTATAGTGTAAACATACCTTTTATATATACACTGGTAAACCAACAACTTTATGTGACTCATTTTATTGCTACATTTGTTTTATTGTGGTGAACATAATCCACAATACCTTTGAGGTATGCCTGTATATACATTTGCTATTATACATATTTGTTCATTTCTTTCATATTAACATATGATTTTAAAAGCCCCAAAGGCAATACATGCTGCTATTTTTTTTATCAAAACACATAGCTACAAATTAGATTGTGCATTCATCCATACAGTCTTTCCTATTTTCATAATGAGTATAAAAAGCCGCTAGCAATTTAACAAATTTATGGATTACATAGTATGTGCTGAGGTCCAGGTATAAAATAACATATAAGACAGAGTCTTTAGCCTACGTATTAGTGGTGAATGCTGATACCTGAATGGAAAATTCCAATAAAATATGGTTAGAGAAATGGTGGAGATAGGCAGAGGTTACTACAGATACCAGAGTGATTGGAGAGAGCTGAAGCAGAGACCATATTGTAGTTTTCCAGGAAAACTTTGTGGAGAAAGTGATGAATCTTAAAACATAAGTAAGAAGAGTTGTATAAATGTTGAAGGGAAAAAGACATTTCAGGAAAAAAAAAATAGAATGGTCAAAGTCATAAAAGTACTGTAAACAGTTTGATAGTATTTGAGTACAATTTATGTGTCTAGAGCAATGGTTGATGAGATTGAAAGGCCATAGGGGTCAGGTCCTGAAAGCTGTACTGGAATTGGGGCATTATCTTTTAAGCAATGTGAAACAACCACAGAATTTTATGCATAGGCATGGTATCATTAGATATTTCCACTGAGGAAAAAAAAATTGGAGGAAACTAGATTAGATTACATTAGAGGGAGCCATTGCAATAAATCTAGAGAGAGATAAGAGTTAGATCTAGAATATGGTAGTAAGGCAAGAAAGAAGGGCAGGTTGAAAATATCTATGAGGTAGAATCTTTGCAAGGTTTCTTGGTGAATTGTATACAAGGATGAAGTGAAGGAAAGGGAAGAATCCTAGGCCTCTCTAGCTTGAGAAGGTAGGTGCATGATAGTGCTAATCTGGCAATTTAGGAATGCAGGAGGAGAAGCAAATTTGACTTGAAATTTGGGTATTTTGTATATTCTATGTTTCATGTACCTACAGACTACCAGGTAGAGATATCCAGTAAAAACTTAGGTATACGGTTTAGAATTCATCAGAGAAATCTGCAGGAGAATATAGGAAAAGAAGTCATCAGTATTTTAAAAAATGGAAGATGAAGTCATAAATTTAGATACAGTCAATAAGGAAGAATGTATCAGAGTGAAAATTAGGAGGACTAGGTAAGGAGCTCGGGAGAGCATCAAAATTACAAGATAAAGTGAAGGAAGAAGTACTTGACGATAAAACTGGGGTCTGTATAAAGAATCTAGAAGAAAATTAGTGGTGGAATTCTAAAAACTAGGAGAATGAATTAAGGTAAAGGTCAATAGTTAAGAATGACTACAGATAGCAAGAGAAACACAAAGGCAAAAAAAGTCTCCATTATTTTTGTAAATGGAAAATCATTTAAGGGTGAGCTAAGAGGTGTTTGTATTGGGGGCAAGAAGGCTAAGGGAGATAGAAAAGGTTGAGGAGAGAATGGGAGGTAGAAGGGGCCAAGCAAAGACATCTAGAGTCCCTAAGTAATAAAAAGATTATTGTGTCTCTCTAAATATAATTTAAAATAAAAACAATTCTAAACCTTAAGATAATTTTTTTCATGATGAATACTTTGACACTTTTCTCTGAGATACAACACAAGAAACATTTTCCCTCCTCCCCCATTGGTGCCCTGCCTTGCTAATCATCTTAGTCTGCCTATAAGTAAATACATCACATGAGTGCAGAAAAAGACAATGAAACTAGACTTCCCCTTCAAAATATTTAGTTTTGTGAAATAAAAAACAAATCAGAACTTAGTAAGGAGAGATTTTGATCCAAAGAGGATTATTCCAAGGGTGAGGAGGGACTTTTGCAGCAGGTGGAGGGGGACTATCCCAGTAGGGAGAATACTGTGGCTAAAAGATCTGCACATGTCTCAAGATTTAGACAAAAAGGTAGGGGGTTTTGTTTATTTGTTTGTTTTCCAGAGAGCAGTTAACAAAGAGAAAGAACCATGTGTGGGCAAGTTGGATGATAGGATAAACAAGAGGGTAAACAAGGGGTGCTTATCTAACTAAGTTATGGTGAGTGAGTCTTATCTAAGTCATATGGGGCAGGGTGTTTCCTGTTTTCAGTTGAAAAAAAAGGCGAAAGAAAATAGTTCTCAGGGAACTTTGTTTTGTTTTTAAGATAAAAGAGACTTGAGCATATCTGTACACTGAGGAAAGAGCCAGAACAGAGTAAGAAAGATAATTAATTGAACAAAGATTTTTGAGAGGATGAGAGATTATGTAATCGGGTGGGAGGTGTTATCTTGATTGTCAGCAGGGGATCTTTATCCTTGGATTGTAGAGAGAAATATTCAGGAAGCATTTAAGTTTGGAGAAGAAAAACAGCAGAAAATTGAGATAGTTTATGTCTAGTCATTTGATAATGTATCACAAAAATATACAGGTGATAAGAAAGCAGTGGTGAATAAATTAAGTCTGAGCAACTAGATATTCTCAATATAGTAGGTCATCTTCTGAGAGTGACTGAGGCACTGAGTCGAGTAGCAGAGGGGCCATGCAGGAATGCAATAAGGAACATCTATAATTTAAATGGCAAAAATTACCAAATTATAATGATGATTTTGCATTTCTAGACTCAGGCAAAGAACAGAGACGCTGAAACTTTGCCAGAACCAAAATTGTCCTCCTTCCAAAACCAGTTTTATGTTGTCAGAAGAATCCACATGCCTTATAATTGAATGGTAAAATTTATCTCAGAAAGCTATTATAAAATTTAAAAACCCAGATAAGAGAAGAATGCTGATGTGCCGATTATATGTAGGAGACATCCTGAGAATGTGAGAATCCCAGTGTCAATCTCTCTCTCTCATATATATGTGTGTGTGTTTATCTTGTACACTTTTCCAGCTCCCCACCAGGGACCTCCATATCTTTCTTCATTTTTTTAGTTTTTTGAAAATGCCACCTATGTGTAATATATAATTTTTTAAGTTGTGTTTAACAAAATTCAACAATAATTCCCTGAAGAATCTATTCTCCGAATTTCACTGAAAATTTTTTGAGCCTCTCTATTAACGTGTTACAGAAACCTTTGTTTGGGGCTGCAGTAAAAACTGTATTGACTGCCTGTTTCCATCAAGAGGTCAGGCAATTAGAATTTAGGAATATCCTAACATTCAGCGTAAGCATGTATTATTGTGAAGTATTCTAGGTTCTCATATTAACTATTATCAAAATTTCTTCCTCCGTAGGTACATAAAAGGTGCCAGGGAAGACAAAAATGAGCCAAATATTTCATATCCTATTGTTCCATTTACTATTAAAGGTTTTGTTTTCCTTTGTTTTGCTTCTAATTTTTAATCTTCACATTTTTTTCTAATGTAATAACTAGAGAGAAATCGTCTTTACCACTCTTCGAAATGTTTTTCTTTTACATGAAACAAAATAGTAACAGAAAGAGAGAGACATATATATGCATTTTTTTTTGGTCTCTTGAAGCCAGGAAAGTACCTAAATTCAACGTATCCACATATGTGTGCATGTATTCAATATTTTAAAGGCCTTTCTTGAAAGACAATGTAGTATTCAAGCATCCAGTACTATACAAGTCAAATCTGTACAAAACCTAATAAACACTTTTAAACAAGTGTTTTCACAAATATTGGTAGCTAATAAATTTTATTAACCACTTAAGAGGTTTTGTCTGTTTGTTTAAATTAAAGCACCCTGTGGAGGCAATTTAACAGGATCTTCGGGCTTTATTCTTTCGCCAAACTTCCCTCATCCTTATCCGCATAGCAGGGACTGCGACTGGACTGTCACCGTTAATGCAGACTATGTTATCTCCTTGGCATTTATCAGGTGAGTTCTTATACATTTCCACATTTAAAAAATCCTTTTGGTCATTTTGCTTTAGCGTTTGCACCAGGCAAATTTTTATTTTTGTTTATAGCATTTTTATTATTGTTTACTAATCCCAATAGTAATACTTTGCAACTAACAAAGCCTTTAATAATAGTATAACAGTTCCGAAGGGTAGTAGGTGAGCATCTTCACCAGATTCCAGTGCAAGGGAAACAAGTTAAAGGTCAAGTGTTTTATCAACTTTCATGAAGTTTGATCTCTTTATAATCTTTCCTTCCTCCCTGGTACTTACCATCACTGCCTCAAAAAATTCAGTTTTTCCTAAGCTTCAATATTAAAAAGGTCAGTATTTCAAGTTTTTTCCTCTCATATGTGCACCATCCAAAATCTTTTTGAGGTTTCTAAAAACCCATATGTACAGTACGACCAATGGGCTTGGGAAGACACATATTCCTAACTACTTTCCTTTCTGCTGGTCTCATTAAGTCAAGCTGAGGAAAAAAAAGATTTTTGTGGGTCATTTCTGTATGACTTATCAGCAGAGCTTGTCTCATGATAGAACTTTACATGGCAAAGTTTCAAAATTTACATCTGCATAGCAGTGTAAATTTCAGGGTTAGCTTAGCACTGAAGTAGTGAGGGATGCAGCTTGTATGGGAGAGTGCAGCTGGGTTTGAGCCCTAGCTTGGCCACTGTCATTTGTGTTACGTTGTATAAGTTATTTATTTCAATGAGTCTCTGTTTTCTCACATGAGCCAAGAGCTAGTATCACAAAACCTGGTTTCTGTCCCTAAAGATTTCAGTAGGAGTATTAGGTAATAGCCACTGGAAGATTTCCTAAGTAGAAAAGTTCCTAATCTTCACTGTCTAAGACTGATGTAATCAGCACGTTGACCCTACTAACATAACCCCTTCTTCTGCCACCAGGGTCTTAAAACTGCTTGGTATTTACGTAAAATACTAACCTTAAATATACAGTATTTTCTAACATATTGAAGCCAGGTTTTTTTTTTTTTTTAAAGATAATTTGAACTCACAAAAATTCAGCAAAAGTGTATAAATATATTTTTTTTCTATAATTTGTAGTGATACATTGCTAATTGGAAATACCAAAGCAACAATGATAATATTAATTATTTGTTGGAATTCTGTTATAAGACAAATTCCTGAGATACAAACTATTATTATCCCTATGTTCATAGTTGAGGAAACATCTGCACAGACTTTAGAAATATCACAATGCTTAATACAGGGCTTAGTTTACTTATAAAATTATTCTAGTTAATAACTTGGGAGTAGAAGGCTATGTTACATGAAGTGCATAACCTAAATTTGATTTCCAGTTCTACCATTTATTATGTGACCTTAGGGAGACCACTGACTTTTCAGGGCCTTAACGTACTCATTGGTAAAATGAAAATCATAATCTCTTCCTTATACCACAGAATTATTGGCAAGACCAAGTTAATATTTATGAAAGTACTTTGTAAAATGTAAGTACTATTGGAGTGCACTGTCCTTCTAGTTTTTTAGGAAAAAATAATCATTATAACTAAGACTTTAAAATTTCCTGGAAAAAGAATACTTTTTGCTTTATTTTCATTTCCACACAAGTTACAAATCAATACTTTAAGTATTCATTTAAGCCCAAACTAGAAATTAAAAAGAAATGTACTGCATTTCATTGTTAAATAAGCTTTTAGCCTTTCAAGGATAATAAATTCTACTATATCATTAACAAAGAACATGTTTCCAGTGATCCTCCCCACATTGAGATAAACAAAGAAATTGTAATTACTGTTTTAATGTTGAAACAGATGAAATTTGGAGAGGCTGTATTTTGTCCCAGAACAGGGGGAATAAGTAATAAAATGAGGCTTAATCTTCTGATTTCTGCTGTATTATGCCAACAGTTACCAAAATAGTGGCTCAGATCCACTGAAAAGTTTCAAGGTAAATTAATTAAACTCATGAAGCTACTGAATAAATTAAAGTAAAATGTGATAGTGTGATGGTCCTCCAATTTTCTGGTGGTACAGGGGCCCTTAATATATGAAAAGTCTGGAAACCTCTGCATTGTCCCGATCTTTCTTCATCACTCTTTATGCACAAGTAAACTGAGTAGGTAGACTCAGTTTGTGTATGTACACATTAAGGATGAAAATTGTTGCCTCTATAAATTCTATAGATTTGGAGATAATATCTTTCACCTAACAAATCTCTTAACTAGATGCAGGCAAAGATAATAGAACTTAACAAGATAGGTTCTCTGCTGATGGATGTTTAGCAATGCCAAGCTTTACTGGTTTCATTGTATATCAGGAACTGGTTGACTTTTCTTACTGACTCAAATGAGTCCATCCTTTTCACTATGTTTCTCTGCTACGCTATAAGTTAAGTAATAGACAAATTGATGTCATGTCTCCTGCCTTCTAAGTATGTGGGTTCTACAATCATTTGATCATTATGGGACAATTCTTATACTTTTGAAAGTTAAGGCAAGTTTATTATGCAAATCTTGCAATATTTAAAAAATTGATTTGAATCATTTTTATGTTAAAATGTTCTTTTTCACACATTATCTGATTTTGACATTGTATTGGTTTTATTTCTCCTTCATTAAATTCTAAAAGAAGAAAATATATTTATTTTCAGGAAAAAGAATGCTTAATACAATATGCAGTTCATTTAAGTAATTTAAATGCAAATTATGTATTCAACTTTTGTTTAAATCTGATATGTGGAGTTGAATTTTAAAACAACAAAAGTTCTCATAAATTTTGAAGTTCAAGGCAAATAGTATCATTGATAAGGAAAAAAGATTTCATTTTCATGATGCAAAATATATGCATGAAAATATTTTAAAAAGTAGGTATTATTCTCCATGCTTTACTGACATAAAGTAACTTATATAAGAATATGTAACTAATAAGAGCAGAAACAAAGCTTAAACTCACATCTTCTGACTCCTAATCCTATGCTCATTCATCAGCTAAACTCTTTGCTTTACAATCACTTGTATTTCCTCTAAATATTATGTCAACTTAAAAATATTTGAAAATATCAAGATGACTTTCTTCTTTTTCCACTACTGATTTGGTATTTATATACAATGTGTTGCTACCAGGCAATTTTTTAAATTAGCTTATTTTGACAGAGTCTGTTGTTATTTTTAAACACTTAATTAATATGTGATGATATGACTATTATAGTTAATAGCCTAGCAATAATCATTCTATTTTTTTCTTTCTTTTTTCTAGTTTTAGCATAGAACCAAACTATGACTTCCTCTATATATATGATGGACCAGACAGTAATAGCCCACTGATTGGAAGCTTTCAAGACAGCAAGTTACCAGAAAGAATAGAAAGCAGCTCAAATACCATGCATTTGGCTTTTCGGAGTGATGGATCTGTTAGTTACACTGGATTTCATTTAGAATACAAAGGTAAATACAAACATTTACATTAGCATCATGATTTAAAGTATGAGTATTTTATACAGAAAATAATTTTGCATTGGCAATTGTTAGAAGTTAATTTTATGTTCCTTCTTAAAAGCAGGCTATGCACAATTTATCTCATAAAAGGGTTCTTGCTGTAGACTTTTCCTGTCGATGAGAAGGAAATTAGCATTGCCTTAATTACTACCAAAGGAAATGTATCTGGCAAACAAATTAACAATTAGTATACTGGAGGAGTTGGCTGGGGACACAAAATATTAAAAAAAAAAAAGCCTCATATTTTGGAAGCTAAAGTTTCACTCAAATACCTTTATTTAGAGCCTACTCTCAGTGATAAGGAGAACAAAGTATAAGATAATTATATTTCAGAAAATGTCTACAGATATTTAAATGTGTCAATATTCAGAATAGGGAGAAAAAAATACAGTGATAATTAAAATGTTTCCACATGTTTCTGCAAGTATTTAAATAAATTATGTTATGTCTGTGAGCGTTTATAAATGTATTTTTTCTAAAATTGTATAATTAGTACCTATAGGAACAGATTTAGGTTTCAGTTGTTTAAAGTTTAAATTTATTTTCAGTTATTAAGTCCATAAAGGGCATACTGATAATTCACCTCAAGATATCAACTGAGTTCTGAAAATACATACTTTAGATTTGTTATTTACCACCTTTTTAATGAAATACTTTCGTTTATAACTGAAAATTATATAGAATAAACAAACTTCAAAATATCCTCCATTCAACTTGGCAAATCTTAACATTATGTAAATTTGCTTCAAGTCTTTTTATTCTTGTGTTAAGAAATCAAATATTAAGTATACAATTGAAACTCATTTTGCAATTTCCATGGGAATAGAGGTTAGTCTCTTCAGGGCTATTGCAAAAGATCATGATAAATTCCATAACAGCACACAAAAAAAGGAAGACTCTTTTAGGGAAAGGAAAAACTCACAAGTCAGTAAGATCCAGACTCTTGGGGTCCTCTAATATCTTTATCATCACTTAGAAATGCATGCCGGGGCCAGGATATCTGCTGGTCATGGCCAGGGTATAGATTTCAATCCAGTGAAAAGATTGAGCACTCCGTGAATCTCCCATCTCACACGGCAAAGTAAGAAAATGGCCTTTGCATTAGGAGAATACACAGGCAGCTTGGCACAAACAGTGAAGATTTGGGGCGCCAACTGTTTATTGCGGTTGCCTGCAAATACTACCTGCTGTGTACCAGAAGACACTGGGGAAGTTTAGATGTTGGGACTGTGGGTTAGGAAGCCAGTGGTCTTATGGAGAGTTGAGCTTGGGCATACCACCACTCTCTCCACCTGGGAGATGATCCCCTCACCACACGCTAGGAACCAGAAAGTGTCTATTCGCCCACACCATCATGAGCAGCTAAGGTCATTTTCAGACATTCCTGCTCTTTGCACGATGGTACCCTCCTAATTCTGAATTTGATGCTTATCTTTTCCATTTGTGTATGCTTGCATGTATTTTTATATTTTCTATCATATACACATCTTTCGTCCTATTTTCAAACAAATTTTATATTTTTATCATATACATATCCTTCTGAAAATTGCTTTTTTTCCCTTACATTGTTTTTGAGATTTATCAGTGTTAGACACATTTAGCTTTAGTTTATTAATTTCTTTATGATATTGCATCATATGACTATATCACAGTTAATATATAAGTTTTTCTGCTGGTAGACACTTAGTTGTTCCAGTTTTTCACTACCAGGAATGAATCATGAAATGAACATTCTTTTACATATCCTCTTGAATATATCTGTGAGATTCTCTTTAGGACATCTATCTACCTGAGAGTGCAATTACTGGGTCAAAGGCTGTGAACCTCTTCAATCTAACTTCATATTGCCAAATTATTCTCTAAAAACGTTGTACCAATTTATACTCTTGACACTGGAGGATGGGGATTTAAGAAACTTCATTGTTTTGAAAAAATATTGCTCTTGTCAAATTTGAAAATTATTAACCTCATGGGTGTTAAATGGCATTTCATCATTTTCATTGCCTTTTCCCTAATTATTATTAAGTTGAACATCTTTTCTCTATTTTGTATACTGAGCTTTCCTTTTTGTTAACTGAATATTCTAATCATTGCATATTTTCTGATTGGTTTCCTGTTTCTTTTTTATTTATAGGGAATCTTTTGTGTATTTTAGATAGTAGTTCTTTATCTGTTATTTATGTTGTAGCAAATATCTTATCACTATATTTTGCAAATGATTTCACTTTATTTCTGGTTTCTTTTGCTGTACAAAACTTTTAAAAATCAATATCATTTAATCCTTCCTTTCCTTAATGATTTGTGTTTTTTATATCTTGTTTAAAAATGTTTTCCTTACTATGAGGTCTCATAAAGATATTTTCCTAAACTTGCATCCAAAGTTTTAAAGCTTTGCTCTTCTGCTTTAAATCTTTAATACATGTGGAGTTTAATTCTGTGCAAACCAGGAATCTAATTTTATTTTTCCATGTGAATAATTGTCCTAGCACCACATATGGACAGGTAATGTTAGTGCTGTCAAATATCAAGTTTCTATGTCTGTTTCTAAATTCTTTTCTGTCCCATTAGCCTGTTTCTCTATCTTCAGGCCAAGACTTCTCTAAACTTTACTACGATAGCTTTAAAATAAGTCATTATGTCAAGCAGATCAAATATATCACCTTATTCTTCTTTAAAATCATCATTTTATTGTCAATTTGAACTTATTATTTAGATTTAAACTTAAGTTTGTTCTACCCATTGAATTTGACTGGGACTGCATTGAATTTTGTAAATTGTTTGGGAACAAATTAAAGAATGTATGATATATAATCTTTCCATCTATTAACATGGCATATCTCTCAATTTACTGATGTTTTCTTCAATGCCTTCAGTAATAATTTATAATTTTCTTTATAAAACTTTTTTCATCTTAATCTTAAATGTCTTACACTTTCTATTGTTAAGTGAAACCTTTATTACTAGATATTTGTGGTTGTTGTTAATAATAAGGCCACAATAGATTTTTGTAATTTCCTAGTATCTAGCAAAGTTGCTTAACTCATTAGTTATGATTTTTCTATAGAGTTTTCTGGATTTTCTATGTGGCTAGTGATAGTTGTGTTCTTTCTAATCTATAAATACCTCATTTCTTTTTCCTGGCTTAATGTTCTGGTTAGAAACTTAATCATCATATTATTATGGTATATATTGCCACTGAATTATTTCTGTTACAAAGATGTATGATCATTGATTTATTACCATGGGATTAGTCTATAACTTTCCTTTCTTACATTATCCTTGCCTGGTTTAGATATCAAGATTATACTAATAGCCTAAGTTCATAAGCATTTGCAACTTTCTGGTATCTAGAAATAGGAATCATCTGTTTCTTAAATATTTTCTCATATTTCCCTATAAAACTGTGGTCCTGATGATTTGAGGTAGTAGAATTTTGGTGATAGTAAATATATTCAGATTTGCTATTTTTTCTTAGATTTTTGGAAATCTTTTCATACAAAGTAGCTTTTTATCCATGTTTTCAAATTTATTGACATAAAATTATGCACACTATTCTCTTACTTTACTCGCTGCTGTATTTTTTTGTTAGCATTGTTTAATATTTTTATCACTACTGCTTTTATCTATATTATTTCTTTTGTTCTAGTTTT